TGAGTGTAAAATTGTGCTGTATGGTAACGACGGAAGGAACAAGGTCTACAGAAGAGATGGAGAATTCTTTGCACAATGCTGCATTGAAGAAAAAGACAGCTATGGTTGCGGTTCGTGAACGGTTTGGGGAGGAATAAGCGCCGACGGTAAGTGAGAGCTTGTCTTTGTGTTTGGGCGATGACTGCCTGCACTAAACAGTCATCGGTACATCGAACAGTGTCTTGAGCCTCAAAAGATGCCCTATGCACATTTTATTGGCAACGGTTTCATATTCATGCACGACAATGCTAGGGCTCAAACCGCGATCATCGTACGAGATTTAGTTACCGAAGTCGGTATCTCCATTACGGAATGGCCAGCAAGAATACCGGACATGAATCCGATTGAACACTTGTGGGACAAATTAAAGAGACGAACTCGTGCAAGAGAAAACAATGGAAATTTAATTTGTATTTAAAACATTAACATTATTCACTATTAAACGACATTTGACATATTATATTCCTAAATATACACATTTTTTGATAAAGGATTATAGACAAAACATAAACTTGCAAGGTGTTTCGATTTTTCTGATGAGAAGCATTATATTTTTAATGGAAGCGGTACAGATAGGAAATTGTATTTCGAACTTAGAACATGATCATTTATCTGATTTCTTAGACCATATCAAACTTAAATGTAGTCTTTAAAACAAAAAGTTGTATAGTTTAGAAGCACAATTTTTTAAGATTTTCGTACATTAAATTATAAATTTTTGAGGTTAAATAAACAAAATCTTTTTGCTCTACGGAACCAGAAGACTCTAATTCGAATCCCGAAGCGTCGAAAGTTTTTGTTCATTTAGCTACAAAAATTTACGATTTAAAATTCCATTTTGAGTGCAGAGACTAGAACTAAAATAAAAATATAATATTTTATTTTAGTGAAAAGTATAATATTTTATTTTATATAATATTTGTTACAGTTTAACTTAATTAGTGATCAACAATATTATCTCTTTTAAAACTCACAGATCATCATTATATAATTGCATTTAAGAAGACAACAATAATAAAATGATTTCAACTATAGCTTCAAAATAATCAACATTATTATATTAAAATGAGAGTATGTTCAACTTTTTATGAAAATAATATAAATCTAAACCTGTTCAGGAAACTGAATAAAGAAAAACGGTCATACGTGACGAGATTATAGCGAACTTCCCATGTTATCTTAATGGATTTAGTAGTACCTAACGAAGTACACTCCACTCCGTATATACCAATTCCTTACAAAGATTGTCTGTAAGTCAAAACTTTGCCAGCTGTCTCTGGCATAATATGGCATTGATGTTACAGTTTAATGGAATTGCCCGTCCTTTGGGGGTCGTGAAAGTTCGCCTCTTTGCGTACTGGATTCGCCGTTCGTAATATCGTTTGTAGAAAAAAAATTATATCATGAATTATTTATCAAATCAACGAGTGTTGTATATGGGATTATTAGAAATATAGAGTTCAGTATGCCTTACGTTGATTGGTTCGCCGTGGGCTGGTTTAACGGTTGAATTATTTCATCTACTACGGGCATTTCTAGCTACAAAGGAATTATAGGTTAATAAATTTTTACTTTGTACTTTACTGTACAATTTTTTTTGGATTTCTCAAACATGTGATTTCATTGGTTGTGAGTATTAAAATTGTGAGAATTTGGCCACAGAGCCTAGGTTTGGGTTTTCAAGTCGTATTCATAAACATCTTGAAAACGAAAAAAGTTTTTGTCATTTCTTTCACACTTGAGGGCTAAGAAAATTAATTTTCCCAATCCTCACCGTAAATTTTCAATTCTAATAGAAAAATTCTACTTTTACGAAGAAAAGTAAAAACGTGAAGTTTATTATTTCTGAGAAAATCAGATGATTAAAGCTTTTTAAAAGGAATGTGTTCTAATGAAAGAATATAAGATATTTCTATTATAATTATTCGATGAAAATAAAATTATACGATAATGATCGAAGCTGAAAATGTAATTGTACACTAATTACATTTTCAGTATTACTCTAATTTAATAAAATGAAATATTTCATTGACCCTACGTAAATTGTGATTATGTTTTTACATACATCTATATAAAACTTTTCGATGCCACAGATACTATATTCACACCGTTAATGGACACGATGTCCATTAATGTTTGATACAGACTCAATCGAAATGCAATTGAGTTGTAAATGTATCTCTTATCCTTTAAACGAGCAATTCTTGTATATATATATATATATATATATATATATATAGTACCCGGAGGACCGAGCTTTGCTCGGTTTGTTTTTTTTTTTTGCTAAATCGTGTTTTGGAATTTACATTTCGATCTTACCGACAGAATAATAAGAAAATATGAACTGATGTTTTTCACAAAAGAAAACTTTAAAAAAAAGGGAAAAAAATAACAAAATAACAAATCGACAAAAAATTAAAAATAAAGAAAGCAATGATCTGGAATCGAAAAAAAAGAAAAAAAATAAATGTGTAAATGATCGTGACGCGAACCACGGCCGTCTGTTTTGGGGCCGCCCGATTACCGACCAAGCTGTTGAAATTTTTGCTGCATGAAATTTAGTATGTGCGTAGATTCGGGAGCGAAAAATCGATCTAGCTAGGTTTCATTTTTAGAAAATGTCATTTTATCCCTGTTTTCAGGGAATGAAAAATATAATTCGAATATGACGGTAAATTTCGCCACAAGAGAAAATGTCGTAATAGCTCGGTCGGTAATCGGGCGGCCCCAAAACAGACGGCCGTGGTTCGCGTCACGATCATTTACACATTTATTTTTTTACTTTTTTTTCGATTCCAGATCATTGCTTTCTTTATTTTTAATTTTTTGTCAATTTGTTATTTTGTTATATTTTTTCCCTTTTTATTAAAGTTCTTTCTTTTGTGAAAAACATCAGTTCATATTTTCTTATTATTACGTCGGTAAGATCGAAAAACATTATGCATATTTCATTACTCAGTAATTTGTATCTAAATGTAATTTCCAAAATACACGATTTAACAAAAAAAAACACACCGAGCAAAGCTCCGTTCTCCGGGTACTGATTAATAATCGTGCCACGGTTATGTTATTGGTATGCGTTATACACGGTTTAAGCGTGTTTACCAAACATACCAACTTCATTATTGTTTAGACGTGTGTATGCATTTTCGCGATTGTGTTTCGTGACTAACTAAAGGTTAAGATCTGTGAATGAAGAATTCCTGATGAATAGTTTCACTCCTAGCTCCTAGAGCCATTCTCGAAATATCTTTGGTGGGTAGGATTCATAATAGAGAAATGTACATAGGAACCAAAGTAAGGAAAATAATGGTCAGTGCTCGCGAACGGTGGTCATTGCCGTATATGCTGTTGAGCTTCCAATGTGTTTGAGCTATCATATGCGCGCGGCGGCTGGTTCTATAGCAATGGGATAATGTCCCTACCTACAAGATGGCAGAAAGTTATTGAACAAAATGCCACCTACATACTTTAGTTAAATGTAAATAAACTTTATTAAAAAATGTTTTGAATTTTCATATAAAATGCGAAGAAACCTTTTTCCCCAACCTATTATAGATGCTAGTATGTTCCAAAACCTTTTTGTTACTTTTCTATCTCTTTTTTATTTCTTAGTTCGTTTTTCCATAAAATCTTTTCCTGCATTTGGTTCGTTGTAAAAAATAAAGCACGAATGGCGGAAAAAGATTTACAAAACTTACCTTAGATTTATAAAACCGATTTAGTAATACTAAATCGGTTTTTTCTAGGGAAATGTGTAGTAGAAATTTAAATTGTTTATAGTGCTAATCTTTGCACTTAAGATTGAACATTAAAATATGTAGAAAAAGTGCGAAATGTGTAGTACTTACCCAAATCATGTATATTTATGTTCTTGATAGGGTTCTCTTTGCAAAAAAAATATTAGGGCTGACTGTGACGTATCAATCTTACTATTTATTTACATACATGAGTAATATAAAATTTTCCTTTTGTTTGTCGTTTTAACGTCTGTTTTAATAAATCTTGTATTGTAGTTGCATCTTCAACTAAACAAATTAAATTGTTTAGCTGGAAGAGCTTTCATCAATTCATATTTATAAATTAAAACTTTTCTGATTTCTTACAAGAGACAAACTTAAACTCATATACAAAAATACAGCCGTCGCACTTGAAAGTTATCGCAGTAAAAACTTTGAAATAAATTTTTAGCGAAATCTTACAGGTTTCAAAACGTAATATTTTTTATGCCACGTATCACAATATTATGAGATTACTTTAAAATGAAAAAAAAAAATAACTTTTAAACTTAAAAAAAAAGACAGGTTATCGCCATGAAATTAATGTCATGTTAACAATACAAAAACTATAAGAAGTTGTGAATTATTCGGAGGTTATGAAATGCGTGAAAATTATATTAGAAAGATTTAATTACATAAATGTACAGGTTAAATAAAAAAAATCGCGACAAACTAAATTGTCTCAAAAATATATGAGAACTAACGCGCCGCATAATCAAAACAAACAAAAAGTCCAAACATTTATTGTTGTCGGAAAACCTATATCCGTTTCGGTCCCTTTCGTATACACTATCATGTCTATAAACATGGACTTGTATTTTAAACATAGAACTTTTGGACGCTGTCCAACATAGCATGCGAGATCCGTGAATAGAATATAATATATCATACATTATCATTCCATTCGCTGTCAACGAGCGGTCTTATCATTTATTGATATTGAATAATTGCGATCAGCTCCGTGCCAAGATATCGTGAAATTTACCGATACAGTTTTGTACAAGCGAAAACGTACCGAGAGCAAAAATAATTAGTTATTTCCTTTTTTTTTTGTTTGGACTGATTCTCAGCCAGAACCCTGTTCGATTTTTTTAATGTGAAAAGTTGTTCAAGCAACAGCAGATGGTTTTCCCCAGAAGCTGTTGTTTTCAAAGTATGGGCACAGGATAGACGAGCAGGAAGATGCAATCTTCCGTGAACCACGGCGCCACTGGACTCTGGGCGTATCTAGTCTCTATGGTAATATGTGTTCGGGAAGGTAGCTTAAGTAAGCCAGCCCGTACCTATCCGTGGCCTCGCATGCACTCCAAAACATCTCGCTGTTCACCACACGGCGAACCAAGAAAAGCTAGAAGCTGTACCCCTCGGTAGACTTTTAGTATTCGTAATTCAACCTTTCGTTATTTTGGGACATATAATAGCCGTTATATATCCCAAATTATTTGAAATATGTAAAACGACATAAAAATACATACCACAAGGCAATATTAATATAATTCTCTTAAGTCTTTTGTTATATAAATTACCGATTGGTGCAACTAATAATTTTTGTCGTGTCTTTAATTCATTCTATTTCGTACAAAGGAGAAAAACTGATGGGCAAACCGTTAAGGGTTCAATTTTTTCAGTTCCCTTAAGGACCCTTAAATCCACAACAGTAATCTCGACGATGTAATCAATGCTCCAAGACATTTCTGTGAATTATTTGACGGAACAAATATTGTTCCCAACTTTTACGGTAAGGTGAAAAGGAAATAAAATGCATGAATTTGAATTTTAACAGTATATTTTTATAACATTCTTTTGATCGCATTTATGAATAATAACAAAATAATAAATAACTCTTAACACGATTAAAATTACATAATTATGTGTCATTTTATTGAGAATTTAATGCTTATACGATAATAAATTTAATATGGCATTTCTATACATTCTTTAAACAAATCTCTTAACAGTAGATGTCATCAACTAAAATAAAAATTAAATACTGTTTTGGTCTTTTATGGTTACAAATTGAGCTCCATATGCAGCTAACATATTTTAGGGTAAAAATTCGACGTTCTTTGGTGAAAAGGCTAACGGAGGTAAATTTTTAAATATACACAATTTGTTATCTTTAAATATATATGGGCATTTCTACAGTAAAAGAGGGAGTGCCGTGCTCCTAAAGAAACCAGGTAACATCCGCCTTTACGATATTATTTATGAATGTCCGCCATTTTGTTTTTTTGTATCGAAATCAGCCATATTGCTCTCATTTGTGGACTTATGGACCATCCTGACCCAAAATTTCCCTATCGCTTTGGCTGTGCTGTTGATAAGAAATGGCCGATCGTATTAAATATAATTTTTAACGTCAACAACTTTGTCCAGTTTCATCACATTTCAAACATGATCTCTCCATCAACAAGCTAAACATGAACACGAGCAAAGAGTTTTGCATTTATGAATAAAGTTAAATACTAAGCAATATAATTCTATTCAGGGTTATTGGAATGTAAGTTCAAGCTATCTATAGGTGGAAATATGTATGTTAGAAACATACAGAATGTTAAAAATTATATATTACAGATCTGACTGTTGTAGAACCTTAAAAGTTGTTTGGAGACCCCCTATATACATTGTCTTACATTGCTTACTTGTCACTCATTATTGGGACGGACCTATCTTATAGTTGGTTCTTAAAGAATCGTTATCATAAAAAATAATGGAACTTTATAAATGCATGCTAGTCAAATTTGGTTTTAAATCGATATAAGTTGTGTTAAAGTTGAAATCCGACTACGCCTCAAAGTCTTCATTTGAGAAAATCCGTTTAAGGTTAGATGTCACGCTTAGTAAATAAATCAATTTTCAAACTTTAATGGTTATATGTATTTTTACGTATACAAGTTATTTCATTTTAAATTAGCCAAGGCATAATTAAGGTTTAACTTTTTTCTGTACAATCAATCATTTTATAACTTTGAGTTTATGGTTTGAAATCTAGCCTTTTAAGTATTATTATGCCTTCATGAGCCATTTGTTGATATTAATTAATAAATGTCATTTTGAGCTGGGAGTGGGAGTACAGCGAAAGCGGCTCTATAGCGAAAAGTTCTTTCCCATGCAATACGAACTCAAAAATAATGAACGTAAACAGATATTAACACGGTTCCATCTTTCGGCCCCATCGTAGTCGGACGAACAACCCCACACGTATCTTTGGTGCGTCTCACTAACAAGCGACAAGCCTCTAGGGGAGACTCCCTGGGTCCCCGGTCTTGTACCTGGCCTTCGTCATATTCGTGCCGAGGTTGGTGGACCGCGTGGCTTCGGGACGGGGCCCTACCTGGCGGGGCCCTACCTGCCGGGACCCTAACTGGCGGGGCCCTACCTGGCGGGACCCGCGGGCACCCCCGAGGCCCGGGGCTCCGCTCTCGAGTCCCCGATCGACACTTGACTGAGCGCCGTTCGTGTGTTGCTGTAGCTGTACCCGTGACGCTCGTTCCATTTCTCTAAAAGGAATTCGACGCTAGTTATTACTTTGTCAACTGTCCACATGGGCACGATGATGGGTCTGAGTGTATGTAAGTGGATTAGCATTTTCAGAGATAAACAGATTTTTGTTTTGTATGAAAGTTGCTTGAAATGTTGCTATTTGCTAAGCTGTGTGTTGCGTTAAAATGACATACGTTTGAAGCGAAGCAAGTGAACAACGGTGCGAGCTGCAGGGCGGACACAGATATAACCTTGTTATTTAGATATTTTAGAAATAATGACCAATTCGAAAGTAAAACATATTAAAAGATTATCGAAACTGTTCTGGTTGATGGACATTGATAGATGCAGAGTGATCCATCCCTAGTTTTGATTTGACCGTCGCAGAGCCTTCCGGAATTTTGTTCACGGTGACCCGGTCTTGCCCCCTAGCGGGGCGACAAGCGTGACGGTACCGTAGTGCGCGTAAGAAGCAGCCGACGCGGGCGTGGCCCGCTATCCGCCCCCGGGTGGGCGACGAGCGTGACGGTACCTTCATGTGCGCACGTAGGAGGCGACCGCCGACGTGGCGAGCTTCGCGCGGTGGGCCGATGGGGGATACGCACCGCTGGTGAGCCCCGGCAGCGGCAGCCGGCAGCAGAGCGCCGCCGCGTACGCCGCGCGGTACTGCGCGTTCATTATCACGTAGATGATCGGGTTCACGCACGCGCTCGCGTACAGCAGCAGGTAGCCGGCGATGTGGAAGACTGGGGATGGGCAGGGGGTAAATTTTTTAGATAATTAATTTATTACTTTTTATGTGAGACGCTGGCAAGAGAGCTGATGTTAAGTGATGTCTGCCACCCATGGACGCTCGCAACGCCCGTAGTGTTCCAGATGCGTTACAAAAAAGTCGTCCCGCTTCTCGATAAAGAGTGCGATGTATTGTCACGAGATGTATTTGTGGTTGTACCCAGAAACATTGGTTAGTACAATATTTCGTTACTTCTCGAAATGCAATTAAGCATCCTGGATACCGAGCTAAGATAAAATCTATAACTTAGAAGTAAGCTGATGAGGTAAAACGTTCGTAAGCCATACGAAAGATGAAACTGGTTTATGTTTCGATATTATAATATGTTTAAAATACTTGAAGTCGGCTTCGGCTATATTTTGGCTCTTATCAATGACTGTCTGACTGAGAGCCGTGATAGCTGTGTCCGGGCGCTCGCCTTTAATTCATTATACTCGAGCAACCTGAGTTCGATCCTCGGTGCCGGCACCAATAAAGTTTTTAACTTTAAGTGCTGACTTATCACGTGCTCCGCGGTGAAGGAAAACAACGTGAAAAAAACCTGCATATTTTCGAAATAATAATAAAAAATATTTCGAAGATATGTGAAGTCCGCCAATCCGCAGTGGGGCCGCGTGGTGGACTATGCCCTGATACCCTCTGTATAGAGGAGCCTTTGCCCAGCAGTGGGGCATGTATAGGCTGTTACTTTACTTTTACTTTACAATGACTGTCTTGCTAGTTTCAGTTTGTAAAAGTAATCAATTTGGAATAGCTTTTCATAAATGATAAATAATGGCTTTTTAACAGGAATGTTAAACCGAGACCTTTTTTGCCGAATTTTATTGATGGGTAAAATGAGTTTCTCGAGATGACGTAAAGGTGATTATATTTTGTCAGATCCCATATGTGTATATATATATACATATATACATAATCTTGGTTAGGCTTGATAGGCCCACTCAACATACTTAAGGCTTTTTATGGAAAGCAGGAAAACTAGTAAGCGAGCCACCTGATCTTGAGTGACAGCCACCCATATATTCGCCGCACTAAAGGACTTAAAAGTGCGTTGCCAGCCTTTAAAGTAGAAATAGGCTCTCATTACTGTTCAACTTGCCGGGATTGAACGAGTTCTATGCGTTCATGTAAGACGACCCGATTGGCGTAGTGGGTAACGAATCTCCGTCTTGCGGCAGGGAGTGTAGGTTCGAACTCCACTAGTGGAAAAATATTGTGTGATGGACATAGTGTTTTCCCAGAGTCTAGGTGTTTATATATATTTATGGTTTTATGTTTAATATACTATCTACACAAGAAAAGTATGTTTACTAGTTATCTTTTACCCATAGTACAAGAGTTGCTTAGTTTGTGACTAGAGAACGTTGTGTGAACGTGTCCTTAATATTTTTTTTATTTACGTATCGAGGTCACTCACTGGGGTAATGTACGTGGCTGTCGGCGACCTTCGCGATGGTGATCGGCAGGTAGCACACGAGGAAGGAGAGGAATATCGCGAGAACCATCTTAGTGATGCGCCACTCGTTGCGTTTAGCTTTACTCTCCCTGTTGTCTTTTACAGTGCTCCGCTTGTCGCCGCTGTTGAGGGCGCCGGGCCCCGAGTGCTGTGAGCGCTGATGCTCCCGCATCCTCTGCTCAGAACTGCAACACGAGATGGTTCATGGAGGAGAGCTACAACGGGAGATGTCTGATTGAGGGAAGATGATAGAGAAAGATAAATCGACACTTTATTACAGACAAACAATTAAATCAATCAAATCATTTTATTTCATACAATGGACGACTCTAATGCCAGGCAGTTAATCTTTCGAACGAAGATGGCGTGACTTAGCCACGCCTTGTAGTCAAACGCACGTTAAATGTATTTTAAACTTTACTTTATGTTAAACTATTCTTGACATATTTTATGTACCATCTGTACAACAGTACTTCCCATACGTACTGTTTCTACAGTCAGAGGTTTGCTGTCGTGTATGAATTTAGGACTCAACATTTTTTTTTATTAAAAAAACTGGCCAGCACTTGACTGCCGTTGATGGTAAGCGCGCTAGCTCAGTAAAAACTTATTCACTATTGCCTTGAAGACGCCTACGTTGTAATCGGATGGAAAGACGGACGCCGGCATGTTATTCCATTCCTTAGCTGTAAAGATGATAAATGAAGAAGCGAATCCCTTTGTACTCGTACGTGGAACGTCGACAGCATACGGGTGGAGCCCCGCCGAGCGCCTGGTTGTCCGATGATGTAAAGGGGCGGGAGGTATAAGATCATGCAACTCCAACGTTCTTAGGCTAGCAGTGAATCCCTAGTAGTTGGATTATTACCTGTGCACAACCCAGAATATCCTGGCGTAACAAATGAAGATCAACATGGCCGGCACGATGAACGCGATGACGAACAAGGCCGTCTTTGACGAGCGGCCGTGGTCGTCTGGCATTATGGAGCACGTGCCCAGTTCCGGGTCGTAGTCGAATTTACCTGAGAACGTTATCCAAATTAATTACTATACAAGTATCACGTGCTCAGCCGTGAAGGAAAACATCGTGAGGAAACCTGCATATTTTCGAAATTATAATAAAAAAATATATTCTTCTTTCTATTAATTCTTCTTTCTTTTCTTTCTTTCTATTTCGAAGATAAGTCCGCGTGGTGGACTATGCCTGACAGAGGAGGCCTTTGCCCAGCAGTAGGACATGTATAGGCTGATACTTTACATTACAACAATACTTGGTGTCACAGTCGCTTGGCTATAGGAATCAGTGCTGGGTCACGGGTTTGATTCCCAAAGGGGCAAGTAGTTTTGTGATTCACGTAATTCTTTCAAAATTCAATGAATGGTTGACGCAGGACGTAAAAACCATTAAAAATATGATTCACGTGTTGAGCCGCCTGCAACTAGGATGGCAGGAGAAAGAAGAATTATTATTTCATATCACCAAATATGCTTATATGGCCGAAAAGAGACGGAAGGCCTAAACGGGCAAACCTTTCTGATATTATAAACGCGAAAGTTTGTATGTATGGATGGATGTTTGTTATTATTTCGCGCTAATAGTACTGAATGGATTTTAATGAAACTTTACAATAATACAGCTTATACATCAGAGTAAGACATAGGCTATAATTTACATACATATTTTATGTATATCTGTCTTTCTGTCTGGATGTTACGCCTTCAGCCTATTCTACGCAGACGTAGTCGCGGGCAGCAGCTAGTAATGGAATATTTATCTAAGGCTCATGTAAAAGGGTTGTGAGTAAAAAGAAAACAAACAGCAAATTGTGTTGTTATTTAATGTACTTCGCAAACACTAATCGGTTAATTTACGTCGTAAATGATTTTTGACGTTATAAAACATTAAAAAACGAAGTAAGAAGGCCTGGCATGTTTTAACGGTGAGGGGAGCAGATCTAAATCTAATTCTGAGCACGTTTCATCCACCGCATCTATTCAAAATAATAAGACGGCAAATATGAAACAATGAGTAATGCGCGTAACAAATCCGAAAAACAATGTATGTTGCTGCATTTGCATTCCATTCCACAATTTTTAGGTCCAAACACTCATCATTGAATGACTACATTTTGCTTCTTCTTTAATTATTCTGACATAAAATAGTCAAATAATAAACCATTTTATATAAACACGATATAATAAGTCAAACGAGATTAAACTAGTTCAAAATACAAATCAAACCCCGAAACTAGTAACGAACGAAAAAGTAACAAACATAAGATTTATTCTATTAAAGAATTAATAAAGTTTTTTTATGGTATGGTTTTTATTCGCTGGATGAATGAACTCTATAAATAAGTTTTAATCGTATCTAGCATTCATGCATTTCGATAGTTATAATTTAATCATAAAATATCGGCACGGATTGAAACTTATTTTTTTCACGGTGGTAGGGCCATGCAGCGGCCTCGGCTGTTGCACGATTGTGCAGGCTCGTCCGGGTAAGTACCACGACCTCACAGAGGACCGGCGTGAAGTGGAAGTGTAATACTTTCGCGATTCGTCTGGTGAGTGAGGTAGCCGGAGCCCAATTTTCATACGTTGTCAACGCATCTGCAAACCCTCGGGTGTAGTAGATGTCCATGAGTGGCGGTATTCATTTAACATTAGGTGAACGGTCTACACGCTTGGCAACTTTTCACATAAAAAAACATTCTCAGGCATCCGGAGTACGTATATTTCTTACCCCACACTCCAAGAAGAGTCGGTATCTGCATGCCGTACGAAAACATCCACGAGAAGACAATCATGAGCGCTATGTTGTGTTTCCGGTACACGCGCGCATACCAACTGTGGTGGGCTATCATTATGTATCTGGAAAGATTATCACGCAAGACATTATTTGGTTATATTGTTTAAAGGATATTGGCAGCTGGTTTTTAATTTGTTTGTGGCAAACGAGCATCCGTAGGCGAAGCCAACCTTTAATAAAGTTCTTCTTCTTCTTAATAAAGTGGGCCCCGGCTACCTCACTCACCAGACGTGTAATACTTCTACTACACGCCGGTCTTCTGTGAGGTCGGGGTACTTACCCCAATGGACCTGCCCATTCGTGTAACAGCGAACACTGTTGCGTGGCCCTACCACACTTTTACCACTGTACAAGGTTCCAGACACCTTATTAAGATTTCAGCAAGTTATATATCAACACTTCTCACCATAATCCCACCGTACTGTCGGTTATACTAGTATTTAAATTGTTTATAATTTGTCTCACATGTAAGGGGTACTAACGCCGCAAAGACGTCAGAAGCAGCTGAAGTGAGTAAATGCCACAGTATGTGCCACATATTATATGAATCTCTTGTTTGTGCAGATTATTTGGAGATGATAAAGAGTGAGATTTCAGCAAAACTTAGTTCTGATACGTTACAATATACATAGTTCAATATGATTTATTTAATAATAAAATTATAAAATGTAGAAATTAATATGAGGAATTTATATTATTTAAACATTATGAAATAAACCAATACTTTTTCTTTTAACTTTATTGAGTAAATTTCTCTTATTTTAAAAGAAATACCGACATTAACAGTATGTATTTTATATTTAATATTGATGTAGTATAATTTGGGCTGATATCAACCATATAAGTTATTCCTAAAATCTTTTTCAAATAGATGGGAGGAATTAAGAGGCGAACCGAGCAGTAAGGTCTGTTGAAATGGAAACGAAACTGTCCAGAAGGCAATAAAACCGCTTCAATAATTCAAAATGAATACATTGTAACAAATACGTCTGGAAGGTTACGACCTCTAGGTACTTGCAATATTGAACGTCAAAGACACTTATGTAAAAGCGCTTCACCGTCGTCACATATATTTACCATACTTTTAGTGTCAATATTCATGCTGTCAAAACCAGCCATAGAAAATGGAATTTCAATATCCAGCATAAATGCGAGATTGCTCTTTCAAAACAATCTGCTTTGCAAAACAAATGTAGTTATTTTATGGCAAAAGACAAAAATCAATCGAACGAGCGTGACATTATGTTGATTCCAGCAAAAATACAATATCCAAACCGTATTATGTTCACAGAATAAAGTCTTAGTCACCTTCGTTTTTGAATAAATTGAATAAAACAATTCCGTAGATTTATGCGGCGAATAAACTAAAAGTGCCAATATGTTTGAGGCACCCGGCCGATACCGTAGTTTAATATGTAAAATGGAATAAAGATAGAAGTTATCTCAGGTGAATATCGGGAAAGGGGGTTTGGTAAAATATGATAATAATACATACGGGCTCGTAACTCGGGACAATATTTTGCGAGGGAAATCGTAACCAGTTTTTATGTTAGATATTTCTTTATCCTATAAATTTTCTGTAGCGATACGTCCCTGTGTCCATTCTGTAAGTAAGGCCGATCTACATCAAGACGCTTCGTGCATTGGCAAACGCATTCCTATTTCTTTACTGAATGTCGCTGCCCATCCTCCTCAGGCCACGCAGCAGCCTCGGCTGTTGCACGAATGGGGATGCTCGTCCGGGTAAGTACCACGAACTTACAAAAGACCGGGGTAAAGTGGAAGTATAATACTTTCGCGTTTCGTCTGGTGAGTGAGGTGGCCGGAGCCCAATTCTCAAAAGCTTGTCAACGCATCTGTAGCCCTTGGGTGTAGCAGATGTCCGTCGGCGTCGTTATTCACTTTACATCAGTCGAACGGCCTGCTCGTTTGTCAACCTTTTACATAAAAAAGCGTACCTGTTCAAGGTGATGAGAGCGATACTCAGCAACGATACGCCGACGTTTCCGTACCGCAAGAACGGCACCAGCTTGCAGAGCGCCCCGCCGTGGGACCAGGTCCTCGTCCAGAAGCCCGAAATGGCGAACGGCAGCACCACGGCGCAGAACAAAAAGTCCGCTATACAGAGACTGTAAGAGGGAGATAAAACATTGTTCCTTTCGTTGCGGATTGCAGTTTCATTCTAATTCGATCGACATAATATTTGAGGTTTAAAAATTGTGTGTACAACATTAAACACGAAAATGTCCGTAAATTAGTTTTATTTAATAATGTGTTTTATTCGCGTAAACGGAAAAAATCATTAGGAGTGTGTACATTATGAGCATATTGAGATATTGCTGGAGATCATAGGCTAATTGTGTATATACTATCATATTAAAATTTCCCGGCACTGCGGGAATCGAACCTACGTCTTTCGTATTCTCGCGCTCAGGCGCTTTTAAAATTAAACTAAACAGCTGATTGCCACACCGGCGAATATATCAACGTTTTTTTTCTACATTGATCTTTCACATTTTTAAGCAATGCGCCAATAGTCAACTCATAACGTCATACTTAATAAAAAATCAGTAGCGATTATTATGAAACTGTACATTTAAATTCTTCACACTGCTATCAAATAGTGATTAATAAAATAATAAAATTACTTTAACGCTTCTGTAAAATCAATTGATATTTTTGCTTACTTATACCAATTATTACATTTGGAATAACTGTAGGCGTAGGTCCCTGTAATTTGAATACCTTACAAAGCTTATGTAAGGTATTCAAATTACAGGGAATCAGGACACCCCGGATAAATGGTGGTTTATTTTAGTTCTAAGAGACAATACCGGGACCGATTCCCTGTTAATTGTTGCGGAATGAACCATAAATTTACACTTGTGCTTGGGCAACAGCGTATTTCAGAGGTGCCGTAAAGGGGGCGTCCCTTAATAGTCTAATAGTATTCCTTGTAAAGCTAATTGAAATTTCGTGTCGGTAATTACGCAAGTTACAATTACATATGTGAAGTTTACAACAAACAACTTTCACAATGGTGTTATGCCTTAGGTAATATTATTGTTACTCAATTTGTAATGTAAGTTTTTATTGAGATTATATATTAAATTTTTTTTTAATGTGAAAAGTTGCCAAACGAGCAGACGGTTCACCTGATGGTAAGTGAATACCGCCGCTCGTGGACACCTGCTACAACCGAGGGTTACAGATGCGTTGACAAACTTTTGAAAATTGGGCTCCGGCTACCTCACTCACCAGACGAAACGCGAAAGTATTTGTCATACTTCCACTTCACGCTGATCTTCTGTGAGGTCGTGGTACTTACCCAGACGGGCCTGCCCATTCATGCAATCGTGCTGCGTGGCGCTACCACCGTAAATTCAATTAAATTATATTTCAATTAAAACATCATGTAAAGTCCATTGGTAGAAACTGTCACTTGCGGTGTCGAGTAATTGATTGCAAAATCACTGGACATTGATCTAAAGGCAAATTTCATTGAATTTATGATAAGACTTCGGTCCTTCTAGATCAGTAATATGTAATATTGACCTTATGAATTTAATAAAAAAAATTGCCCACAGCAATGTTACTATGATCTATGTTGTTTAGGTTTATACTATTATAGTAATAATGTTTCCTTAGAAAATACCGCCACATTTTATTCGTAGTGAAATAGTGGGAGAGAAATAATGACAGTAAAATGATTAGTTAAAATATTAGAGGCGTTTCTATTAGTTTCAGTTTTCAGGTCACATTTGTTTCCAGTTTACGAAAGCAGTCACACTCTTCTATATATTAATACGTGAAATAAAAACTTTGTACTCCTTTTTACAAAAATTGCACGGAGAGAGTTTGAAATTTCTCACACTTATAAGTTTACATAGAGAAGTATAAGTGCAGAATGCTAATATTTATTTTAATTATGCATGGAAATACGTTATATAAATAATAAAAAAAATGGTCCGACCACTGGGCGACCACCAGTTCTATAAACTAGGCGAAAAGATGAAACCACTATAATCTGCCCTCGCTTTTATTGATATATTATATATACCATTATATTTACCAAAACTGAAGCTTTAACTAAGGTATAAAATGTGGAGAGTGGTTCTTGTTACGTACCTAATGATGAAGGCTGCAGCAACGTTCCTGACTTTAGGACACTTGATTAGCGCGACCACAGTGAGGAGGTTACCAAACAATCCTATCACCATGATGAAACCAGTAACCACGGCGGCGAAGGTCAGTAGACCCGGTGAGAACCTGAAATGAAATCAGTGGAATGTTTAGGAAGGTGTATTTAAACGCGAAGAGAAAAATACAGGTTATAGTTTTCCGTTGTTTATGACTGTGAAGCATCTCTCGTCTAATTTTCAACGTGCCTCTACGTATTTGTTTCGGGAATTTAAAACCTGTTTTAATTGTTCACACTTTAGTTTTGGGCGACCTAGACACTTATCTCTGCTACTCTTTTCTGTGCTATTTAATGTTTCCTCCCAGTGGATTTGTATGTTCGTGCTCAAAATAATGTTGCTCATTAACTTTATGTAATGAGCTAAGTACTTTAAAAATTATAGTTTTTATTGTCATTTAGTGATGTACAGAAAATTTTCCTTTTTTAAAGAATAAAATCTTTACTAATATTACAAATAATGCAGAATGGATTTTAATGAAACTACAATAATATAGCTTATACATCAGAATAAGACATAGGCTATAATTTATATACATATTTCTGTCTTGGTGTCTTAATGTTACACCTTCAGCCTATTCTACGCAGACGTAGTCGCAGGCAGCAGCTAGTATATTGTATTTATCGAATACATTGGCGACCCAATTGGCGTAGCAGATAGTGTCTCTTGTGCCAGAGGGGGTAAGTTCGATCCCCACTAATATACCTACATAGTGTTTTCCTAGTGCCTAGGTGTTTAAATACCTATAATACGTATTAATTTATAAAAGACATTTAAGTATGTTATGTTAGCGGACTTTTTCGTTACCTAGTATCCTAGTATTAGTAGTATTGTGTAAAAATATGTCCCCGAAACATTTATTTATTATTGTACTTTCTCATCATAGAACATAGAGGAGAGTAACCATACGATACCATAATTTATGCTATTGACACAGAAGAGACTTGAAGTACTCAAACATGCTGAAACTTAGGCCACCTTCAAGTTAATATGTTATTAAGTAATTTATGTAAGAAACTTATAGATACCCGATTCCTTCTCTGCACCAATGATAAAATTCAAAATTAGGTTATTATAGATGCTTTCAAAGCATTAGTGAATTTTACGATGAACGCCACTTACATAATATATTTTTATTAATATTATGTAAGTCGTAATATTTGTTTTTACATACATTTTTTTATAAACCTTTTTCTTTCCATACGCTAGTTACCATTTTGATGGGATAGGTATCGTCGAAAAAACAATAATCCACATGACTGCGAACCAGTGCAAAATAGATAGTTTTTAATATCTAAAATGACTTAAACTCTTTGGTAGTTCTGTTATATTCATAACGGTTTGTTTATGGTAATTTTAATGTAGTTAGGTAATCGTATCAAATAGTCAATAGGAACTATGACTAAATCCTTCACTCCATTTACTTCCACTAAAACCATAAATATTATAACTCCTATGAAATTAGTAAAATTTTAGAGAGCATTTAAATTGAAAGGATGTATTAGTATTGAGAGGCGTTTCATTATGCAATACATACAAGACATATTTCTTCCTGTACACCCTTGAAAATGTTTTGGATATCTTTAGGTCATCTGCGAATAATTCAAATACGGAGTTTCGGACACAGCCGATAATTTCACTAAAAACAATATTGAATTGTTACTGTGTTAGATTTGTTCGACACGAAGCAAACCGATCTAAAATGTTAACAAATATTCATTCAATAATGTTAATTTAATGTTAATAAAATCTCCATTCCTTCCGTTCATTTGCCGGACGCCCCCTTTTGTTCAATCTTATCGAGCAGCCTGAGTTCAAATCCCTGTGCCGGCACCAATGAAATTGTAAAATGTTTTTTTTTATTGTTTATTCATTAACAAAAACTTATACTATCGTTACAGGTACTTAACCTGATACAATAGTGGGGAAATCTACAATACAAGGAAAGATAATAAAATTGAAATACAAATAACGATTTACTATATCCACCACAAATTAGCAATGCAATCTTTGTAAATAGAGAAGACAAAAATATATCTATATCCCTAGCAATTATATTTAAAGTGGACAGTGCACAGTACCTCAATTAACAACCAAGAGGGCCCTTACGACACCACAAACAGCTGCGATTTGCCGCCAAGCACATTTATTCGGAAGGCACAATCGCAACGCACAAGCCTGTTTGACTCAATAAGTTCGCATTGTGAATGTTTTAATAGTTCAGATATGTACACCACCATACGAACATGTCTTCTAACGCTTAATGTTTAATATGCAACCATAACCAAACTAAATAAAGTTGGATACAGCGACGGATGAAATGGATACTCTCCGTACTGTTTCAAGTCTTAAGAATTCATTCTGTATGTGTTCCGACTTGAGACTACATTTAGTTTCATATGGAACCCAAATTATGCATATATTCAAAGTGACTCCAAGCGAAATTTCGCTTTGATATAAGAATAAAACACAGGTTTCTGTACGCTTTTGTGCAAACATCTACAATGTGATCACGAAATGTTAGTCCTAAAGTAAAATGGACGCCTAAGTCCGTGTCTTCCTTTGTTGCAATTGTACACGATTCTGTACAGTTGCAACATTGATGGTTCTTACGGGAAAAACTGATTGTCACGCACTTCGACCTGTTAGAATTGTAGGAGGTTGTCTTTACTCCACGTAACTACTCTGTCTATATCTATCTGAAACTTCTTACAGTCGGCCGCGTTCTACAGTTCTAATAGCACGATACAGATTTAGGTCATCTGTAAATAATAAAACATTTCCGAGTCTTTGACAACTGATTTAACAAGCTGACTGATCACCTGCTCATTGGTGAAGAACATTCTGTGAAAACTTGCATATTTTCAAAATAATAATAATAAAAAAAATGTCGAGAAGTATGTGAAGTCTGCCAATCCATATTGGGGTCGCGGCGACTATGGCCTAAACGCTCTGTACGGGCCTCCGCCTTTGCCCAACAGTGTGACATATACAGGTTATTACTTTACTCATACTTTTTTCGCTTAAAAGGTTCGTTGAATATGCGTATTGTACGTGGAACTCTATAGTTTCATTGAATGTTTTATTGAAGTGGAAAATTCAATAAAATCTTAGTACGCCACGCAGCTGCCTATTCGTTCTGCTCGAGGATGTCTTTTGTTTTAGGATTCAATTCATTCACGCTGAATACATTCCCGAGCTTAACATTGTTGTGAAACAAAAAGTCATCAACGAACTTCATTTATATTCTCTCAATCGGGAACTTCATAAAGGCTGCGTGCATAAATAAACGATGCTTACTAAAACCCATCCAACATTCGATAGGAAATGAACATTTTATGAAAAAATTTTTGATCGGGATCCATATTTACATTAAGAAATCATTTGCGCATAAATTTTGTGTAAGGAATGCGTATTTAGAAACGTTTCATTGTATTAGCGCACTTGTGACAGACAAAAATCTCGTTATATGAGACTAAGAACATATTTATTTAATAATCGTTTAACGAATATGTGTATTTTTTTAAGCGTGAAACGTTTCGCTAAGGAAATTAAAATGTACTGATATTTCGAAATATTTGGACGATAATAAGAGGGAATGACGGTCGGTTAGACTGTTTCTTACCTTTTTTTAATATTATCATAATGATATTATCTGTAAATAAATTATTAGAAAAAAAAAAACATTTACACAAAAATTGTAACAAAATTACTTATTATCAATAATCGAATAAGGAATGTAGTAATTACAGTAAATTTAAGATGTGACAATGCTAACGGTAAATGTCCTGACTCTGTCTATCTCTAACGCAAAAATACAGTTTTAATCTAGGGTAGGAACAATGAGACCAGAACATATTTATGTTAAGTGAAGTAGGTGTTAATGCACAAATTAACGTTTTTCTGTACTTTTTGTATGTTAATCATTATATATACTTACTTTGAAAGTTCGCTGGGTCGAATACTGGAAGTAGTGTCGTCAGTTATGTTCATTACCTCGTCCATTTTCGATTAATATCTGGAATGAAGGGAAAAACACTGTATAAAAAACTAAATGTTAAAAATGACTACATATAAAACAATCTAAATAATAAAAAAATCTAACATATTAACAATGAAAAGTTACAGAAAGGTATAAAACAGAGTATATTTTCTAGCAAATAATATGAAAAGTTTTTATTTAAAAAAAAATTAAAGAAATTACAAAGTAAACATTATACAATACGCAGGTGAATTTGTGAACAACATAGACAAAACTGCTTGATCGTTAATATGCTAATTTTAATACGTTTGCTGTTTATGTGCCTTAAGTAATTTAATAAATTAAGATGAGAATAGCTGCAAAATATTATAGAATACTTATGTTATATAAACAGATAGGTATATGTAGTAATAGTAAATTACAATATCTGCGCAGACATACTTATACAAATAAAAATGGCCAAGAGAAACCCCAATAGTACATGTGTTATACTGTAATTAGGTTTCTTCAGAATAGTTGTTATTGTTACATTATTAATTTGTATAAATATGGCAATAGTATATGAATTTCCAGACTTTTCGCCGTTTTTTATAAATTTCATGACGTTGGTTACAGTGATCCGTGTACGAACGTGTAGTACTTTTTTTTATTATTATGGCGTAACAAAATAAAAATGAGCATGAATTTAACAATATTCATATAGCATTTTGAAGTTTTGACACATGATTGATGACACACGTTACTAATGAGATATTTAAGTGAAGTGATGTGCATATAAATTAAGACTTGGACTAAAGGTCCTTGATACCGGCCCATAAAATCCAAAAAAAAAAAGAGATATTTGTCAACTATACATGGCGTTGATTCTGTCGCAGTGCGCGCACCGTGAAAATTCAGTCCGAAATTTTGTTCTCTAACGCACCAAAAGAATAACTTTAATTGAAAAAGTTTAATACTTCATTAAAATATATCGGTACATGTGTCAGTCAGCATTAGAGTTTAGTGCACATTGCCTCTGTAACATTACACTTCGGGACTGCCATGGGGTTACCGGGACAATTTACCGTAACCTTTTCAATTATGTTCCGGTCAACTCCGCTGTTCTGAGTAAGGCGTGAATCATGTATGTCAATTATCTGCGTCTGTCCGGCCGGTAATAAGTAATGTCAAGCTCAAAAGGCGCATATTCTTGTGTTTAGCCACGTCTAACTGGCATTGCGCTCGTTTTCCGCAGAACAAAACCATACCTAGCGATACGCGTGTTAGCGTAGATAAGTTTTTTAATGTCTCTTCGACAAAACAGGTAAATCGTGTTGTATTCTGAATAAAGATTACATATTTTAAATAAAATTTTCTTATACGATAATCGAATTAGTTTCCTTTTGTTAAAAACCGTACAAAAATAGGCAATGTTTGTACAGTTTTATCACCTACACACATTTATCGCTCAGACACGTCTAAGAGGAGTAGATTTGAGAAGTTGATCGCGTTCGTTGCCGATTTAACAAAAACCGGGCAAGTGCGAGCCGGACTCGCGCACGAAGGGTTCCGTCCATGGGGCCCCACTTAAATACATTTTTATACAGATATTTGAGATATTATTGAGATATTTTTCAGACAAACAGCAGAGTCTTAGTAATAGGTTCCCGTTTTAATATTTTTGTACGGAACTCTAAAAAACGCCAAGAAGTCTCCTCGTTAAGAGTGGACATGACTTTACTGGCAGATGACACGTCGCACGTTAACCTGCGGAGGCGTAGCGAGTAGCAGTTATTTATGGAAATGATCGTAACAGCATATACGGCACTGCTGCACCCACGGCCGTGTGTCCAAGCGTGCAATTGTCCAACACAGAGGGTTCATCGTCACGTGTCATCGGACACGTGCCCTCGACATGTTCTGATGCTTCAGACATACATTATACAATTGTACGCTTTTTAATCAGTAACAGTTTGACGGGAATTATTTTTTTTTTCACGTAAGAAGATTGCAACGTAGCTCGCGTTTCATCTGATGTTAGATGATAATCACTTTTGCAACAGACTACTGATTGCGTGGTCCTTTAATAAAGTGGGCCTCAGTAGCCTCACGCACCAGATGAAACGCAGAAGTACAACTCTTCCATATGTGGTCTTCTGCCTTGACACTTGCAGGTACGTCCCGGCGAATACTTTTGCGAGGTTTTAGCACAATTAAAAGTTATCGAAAAATTTTGAACATACTAATTTAGTCACTATATCAAAACTCTTATGTTTCTATCCCTATCCTTGTCACTAAACTAAACTTCCAGTGGCAAATTTCCACATACAGTATAATTCTCCCACTATTTTGAACATACATTTTAGTTTATTGCAGTTTATTGAACTGCAGTGGCCCAAAGTTAATTTTCCTTTACATTAAATTCTGCTGCCAAGGCGGGCAATTTTTTCTCCTGCTTTTATTTCGTTCCTTAAAATTTTATTGCCCGATTTGGACGGTAAACACTTACATTAATTCTAAGCAAAGACGCCGCGGAGTATTCCCTAACAATTAACGACCGCATTTGGCAAACAGATGCTTTTTACTGTGCCAACTGTGCCAATACTTTTGCTCTAAGAGAGCAACAAACTCCCTAGGTCATTTTGTTATCTAAAGGCAAAAAAAGTGATCCCGACGACTGGTTTCTCAGCAAGAAGTAATTTAGCAAGGATAGTCAATTCAAATTATGCAAATGTAAGTATGTTGAAGAATATTGATTTTATCTAACACACATTGTACTATCCTATTTTACTGAACTTATACGATCTTCATGATGAAATTAAAGATAAGCAGAGTTTTGTGCAAAGGATTAATTTCCTTTTTTCTTAAACAACATTTACTATCAATATTCATAAATAAAGTGCTATTGTTTGTAACGTTAAAGTAAAGGACCTGGGAAAGGATGTTAAATATTTACCACCAATAACGGATTTGCACAAATAGGGTATAGTTTCCAATATACGTCAATCCAGTTTCATTTTCAGCACCAATATATTAAATCTGTTGTCAGAGCTTTCCAATTGACTATAACAATTTTCGATATCAAGGCCATCCGTGTACATACGGTGTATCGAGAGGATATTTTTTACACGTAGTTCGTAAAGTAAACTTATTATTGTAGCCATCTAGGGCTTGGATCGAGCCAAGATAGCTTACATTACATCATTTACAAGATATCTTCTTAGAACAGGATAAATTTTAAGGAAGAAAAACATATTGTTGGAGAGGAAATTCTTGTGTACGTTGAAGTAATCGAAAGTAGTACACAGTGAGTAAAGTGTTTAATACAGTTGGATAAATTACACAAGATACTTTGCAAGTCTGCTAATTAAGTTAGAGAGCACCCGACTCGCACAGTGCAATTTAAAGCGCCAATTTAGACTATTTAGCGCATAGCCGACTACCTAACATTTTCAAAGTGTGTGTGGAGAATGTGCTAACAGCCACTATAATTTCTTTCGGTAAATGTAAGTACGATTTCTTAAATTCCATTGGCACTGCAAATATCGAAAACACCCCAATATTAATTTATGGCATTTATCTAAATAATTAGTGCAATATGATGGCATATTTTATTTAAGTCAGTAATGTTTTTTTTTAATATAAGTTACGGTTTTTTATGTATAATTTTTAATTTAAGAATTTTTGTGAATAAACCTCCGCTTTACCAACTATGCCGGAAGATCAATCCCGCAGCGCCGAAAGTTTATGCTCATTTATATGCAAAAATTCACAATCTAAAGTTTAATCTTGAGTACCAAGACTAGCACTAGAAATAAAAATTATTCCCAAAACTAGAACCCTATACTATGTCTTAAATAGTTTTATTTAACACTAAGGTACAACTTTAGAAAGTCAAGGTAAACTAAATATAAGGCAAGTACGTTTTTCGCAAAGACCAAATGTGCAATATAACGTTGAAATAAAGATTGGTTAGTTAATTTTATGATCATTAAAAATCACTATGCATCATGACTTATAAGATAAATCATCTGCACACCTTTTCATTCACCGGAGACCACTCTATTTCGATGTGGCGATGATTCCTTAGTCTGTTGCTCAAGCTAGCTTGTCACGTAAGATTATATTGAAACCATTCAGTTGTGGTAATTACGGCAGGGCCACGCAACAGTTCGCTGTTGCACGAATGGGCAGGTCCATTCCAGGTAAGTACCACGACCTCACAGAAGACCGCCGTGAAGTGGAAGAGTAACAATTATGCGTTTCGTCTGATGAGTGAGTTAGCCGGGGAGCACTTTATTAAAATGTCTGTGCAGTGTGTGCAGTGTGTGCGCCCGAGGACACTTCCAACCGGTGTTGCAGGTGTCCACGGGCGGCGGTTATCGCTTAACATCAGGTGAACCGCCAGCTCGCTGGCCATCTTACATAAAAAATAAATCCGTTACAGACAGAAATTGACTATACTAGCTTCGCAAAACCATACTAATATAACGATTAAGCCGCTTCTAAGTTACACCTAGGGGCTTTTAATTAGCCGCCGACCAAGTTTCGCTGTGTAACATTTAACTGAAGCCAACGGCTCCTTGGGGATAGTAATTTCGGTGTTTGAGCAAAAATAGCATTAGTGCGAGCGTAGAAGAGTAACGGAATTAATGCGTCTTAAATGGAAGCGCCATTTCACCTGGTCTCCTCGGAGCCATAAAATGACAAGAACTGTCTAGCGTGAGACATCAAAAACAATTAAGCGACACTTTTAGATATGTTTAACCTATACGAGTATTTGGAGTTTTTTTTGTTCGATTATTTCTTGAGTTCACGCTAATACAACAAAGGTAGTGGCCATTTTTGTATTTGGATGCTATGTTGGCTATGTATGCTGTAAATTATCCAACACGTTTTTTGTTAACTAAAAGAATAAAATGTTTAATGTGCATGGGATCATGTCTTCTTGATAACATGTTTATATCATAGTATCTAGTCCGGCTATTAAATTTAAGTACATGAATTGCAATGAATAATGGGTTTTAGTTAAGTAATATATGTA